ACACAACAGTGTTATTGGAGGACCTGCTGTACTTTCATAGCATTTCTGTATTTAGAGACTCCAGAACTGGTTAGGTATTTTAGTATTTGAATTTTATTTTTAAAAATCTTAGTAAAATATCTTTTAATTTCAACTGACATTTTCTTGGCTCAGTGAGGCACAGATAGGGAGGAAGGAAGGACCAGTATTTGTAAGTGGACTCTTGCTTGTAGCCAGAGAACCGCCACAGTCTGAGCCCTTTTTTCCCTTATGGAAAGACAGTTGAGAACTAGGCTTTCAAGATAATTTATTTACGTATAAGGGTGGATTATATTTACTTTCAGGGTTTTCTGTGTTGGATATGTATAGTCAGTTCTCTAACATGGAGGCTAATCAGTTTTCAAAGTAAGGTGTGGACACAGAGTGGCCTCAGCCAAAACTAGGAAGTAGAGTTTATGTTTGTTGTTTCCTACTTCTGGAGAGTTAGAGAGTTAGGCTTTTCAGCTTAGGCTGCCTGCAACTCCACTTACCCTTTCAATCCTCACCTCCCCTTAGTTCAGGCAAGCAGATCTTGGAAGATACTAGATGGGAAGTAGGCTGCCCTGATGGTTCTACAACTTGATTTCACCTCAGTATAACTTGGTATTTCCCCAAGTCATCACAAAGAAGTCTGCCCTGTTGTTTTCAAGAGCTGTAAAGGATGTACTTACATTACATTTATTTAATCAGAACCACATGGATGAACACATTGCATTACTCTTTTGCTCCTATAAAAAATATTGCAGGGAGCATCCTTATACAGAAATTTTGCATGCTTGTTTGGATATGGATATCCAAATTAATTGGATAAATTAATTTTTAACCAGATAGATGAAAGAGATATTTTGACTTCCACTCCTTCCATTTTATATTTGCTTATTGGCTATAAATTTCCTTGTACACCTGACCTTTGCTCATTTTTCTATTAAGTTGCCATTTTCATACTAAGTTTTCAAGTTCTCTGTAAATTAAGTCCCTGTTTGAGTCCCTGTGTTGCAAGGGTTTCCCCTAGTTCTTTTGTTTTTTTAATTTCACAGTATATTGTTGGTTTATAGAAACCTTTATTATTTTTAGCTGTCAAAATTACTGATCCTCTTTATTATGTTTTGGATATATGTTTTTCTAGATGTATCCCATTGTCTTACAGTTATGCATTGGTGACTTTTTTAAGCTAATTTTTCCTATATTAAAAGTCTTAATACATTTACATATTCATTATAAGAAATGTTTAAAAATGGACAAAATTAAAGTCTGTTCCTAAAATTATATTCTTTTCCCCAGAGTTAACCACTTATTAAGTTCCAGTCCTTTATGAGTATATTATACTTCAGTTAAAAAAATAGACAATTATCCTGCCATTTATTAAATAGTCTGTGGTTTGAAATCATGTCTTTATCATATTCTTATTTTAAAATTTTTATCTATTGATTTTAGAGCGGAAGGGGAGAGAGAGAGGAAAAAACACCACATTAATTTGTTGTTCTTATTTATGCATTCATTGGTCGCTTCTTGTATGTGTGCTAACTGGGGATCAGACCTGCAACCTTGGCCTATCAGGACAACGCTCTAACCAACTGAACTACCTGGCCAGGGCTTTGTCATATTCTAAATTTTAGGTAAATCATGGGTCAGTTTGTGAACATTATTCTGTTTCATTGTTGTAGTTGACTATTTGTATGTGTGACTTCATTTTTAAAAAGTTAAATCACTTACGGTTCTAGAATTTGTTTTGGTGTAAAGAATGAGGGTAGGGAGCCAGCTGTTCTCAACACCATTTATGGAATAATTTGTCTTTCCCCCAATGATTTTTATGTGTTGTCATCTAACCAATGTATTTCTGTAATGAACCATTGTTGCTGACCTACCGAAAGAGCATTTGACTGAGCTCCCTGTATCAACTCTAACTTTCTCTTCCCATCAGTTTTCCATGGTGCAGTCTGGGTGATCTTTTTAAAACACCAGCGTGAAACCCTTTATGGGATTCACACTGCTCTTTGGGTGAAGACCTAATCTTGACCTGGGTGGCTGGCTCCTTCATCTCTCTGGTCTCATTTCAGACTGCTGATCTTGCTGTCTGGATTCCAGCACTTTGTGGCTTCCTCTCAGTTCCTTCATCATGCCACACTCTTACTCACTGCAGGGTCTTTACACTGCTTCCCCTTCCTGGGCTCGAATGCCCTTGAGACCCTCATCCGCACACCTGCTGCTCCACCTTGCCCTATTGTGTTCAGTGCACCCTTCCCTTTTCAGCCCTGAGTTAACTTTTTGAGTAAATTCTTCCCTGACTCCCTATATAAGTTTAGAACCTCTAGATGCTTTCTAGGCACCATTTTTTCTTAAACAAACAAACAGCTTTATTGAGATACAGTATACAATGCAGTAATTTTTAGTATGTTCATGGAGTTGTGTGACCCCATAGTCAATTTTAGGACGTTTTCATCACCCCAAAAGAAAGCCTGTATCAGTTAGCAGTCACTCCCCCTTTCTCCCCAAGGCCCCCAGTTCTGCAGAACCAGAGTAGTTTTATAAATGTGGTAAATTAATAACAATAACTTTTGCCATTTTAAACCATTTTTTAAAGTATACAATTTAGTGGCATTAATTACATTTACAGTGTTGTGCAACTATCATTCAGGTCTATTTTCAAAATTTTTTTTTATCACCCCAAACAGAAAGTCTGTGCTTATTAAGCAGTAACTCATTTTCTTCTCCCACAGCCTCTGGCAGTCACCATTCTACTTTCTGCCTATATGAATTTGCCCACTGTAGATATTTCTTTAAGAAAAAATTGATTTTAGAGAGAGAGAGGAAGGGAGAGACAGACATCGATTTGTTTATGTGTTCATTGGTTGATTCTTGTGTGTACCTTGACCAGGGATCAAACCTGCAACCTTGCCATAAGGGGAAGATACTCTAACCAACTGAGCTACTTGGCCAGGGCCTGTAGATACTTCATATAAGTGGAACCATACACTCTTTATTCATTTGTGTCTGACTTACTTTACTTAGCATAATGTTTTCAAGGTTCATCTGTGTATCGGAACTTCATTCCTTTTTATGGCTGAATAATACGCCATTGTATGTATATACTACATTTTGTTTATCCGTTTACCCATTGATGGATATGTGGGTTGTTTCCACCTTTTGGCTATTAAGAACATTTAGCATACAGTGTCTGTTTGAGTCTCTGTTTTTAAGTCTTTAGGGTATATACCTGTAAGTGGGATTGCTGGGTTATTGATAATTACATGTTTAACTTTTTGAAGAACCATCAAACTTTCCAGAGAGGCTACACCATTTTAACATTCCTGCCAGCGATATAGAAGGGTTCTAATTTCTCCGCATCGCTTGTTTCCATTTTTTAAATTACAGTCATTCTAATAGGTGTGAAGTGGTACTTCATTGCGGTTTTGATTTGTATTTCTCTAATGATTAAAAACATTGAGCACTATTTTCATGTTTATTGGCCATATGTGTATCTTTGGAGAAATGTCTATTCAAGTCCTTTGCCCATTTCAAATTTGGGTTGTTATTGGGTTGTTACTGAGTTAGAGGGGTTCTTTAAATATTCTGGATATTAAATTTTTACGAGATACATGATTGCGAATATTTTCTCTCATTCTGTGGGTTGTCTTTGCAGCCTTTTGGTTCATTTACATTTTATAGCATTCACAAGTTTGTATTTATAATTTTAAAAATATTTAGATTAGTATCTATCTTCACCATTAGAATGAGAACACTGTTAAGTAAGGACTATTATAGTATTTGCTCACTTTTATATTTCTCATGATGCCTAGCACAGGTGCTAAATATTTTTTTTAAGATTTTATTTATTTTTGGAGAGAGGGGAAAGGAAGAAGAGAGGGAGAGAAACATCAATGTGTGGTTGCCTCTTGTGCACCACCTACTGGGGGACCTGGCCTACAACCTAGGCATGTGCCCTAACTGGGAATCAAACCAGCGACCCTTTGGATCGCAGGTCAGCACTCAATCCACTGAGCCACACCAGCCAGGGCAATTTTTTTAAATGAATGAATGAACTAAATTCCTTTAAGTTAATTGATGAATTGTTCCATTGATCTGTCCTATTCTATCTTATATATCAGTAGTACTCCATCTTGGCCTCTAACTTGTTACTCATATATTTTAAAATCTCCCCAGCTGTTTTCTGGTCATTGTCATGTTAATTAATGTTAATTTATGCCCTCCTCCTCCAAAAAAAAACTGGATATCAATTTAGGTAACTCTTTTTTTTTTTTCTTTCAGAGGGCTTTCTTGGAAGGATAAAAGCTGCAAAGTTGTCTTAGTCAACTTGGGCTGCTAAGCAAAATACCACAGACTGGGTGGCTTAAACAGCATTTATTTCTCAGAGTTCTGGAGTCTGGGAGGTCCATGATTTGGTGCCAGCAGATTTATTGTCTGGTGAAGGGCCCTCTCCCTGGTTTGTAGACAGATGCCCTCTTGCTGTACCTTCACGTAGTAGAGAAAAGAGATCATTTCTCTCATGTCTCTTCTTTAAAGGCACTAATCATGAGGGCTCCACTCTCATGACCTAATTACCTACCAAAAACCTCACCTCCAAATACTATCACATTGGGGAGTAAGGCTTCAACATGTGAATTTGGGGGGGGGGGGGGGGAGGGGACAGACATTCAATCCATAGCAATACATGGAGCTAAGAAAATTAAAGAATTAAGTAATTAAGCAGAGTTGGTCTCTAGCGTCATCATCTTCTCAGGTATAGGCAATACAGAACTTCTAAAGACTGGCATTTACAGGAACTCAGTCTAATGGCAGAAGGGGTAAATGATCATTTGTATAGATTCATCATACATAAAAGATTAGCAAATTCGTAGCTATAGATCATTAATAACTAAATTAGAACTATTATGCATTAATTGTGCAATATATGAAATTTTCATAGCTCAAGAGAAAGTGTAATTCTGAATGGTAGTCTTATAATATTTTCTCCTTCCTCCTAGATTTAAACAGACAAGTTAAATCAAGCTGGGTAATCATGGCAGAAGGTGGATTCGATCCCTGTGAATGTGTTTGCTCTCACGAGCATGCGATGAGAAGGCTGATCAATCTGGTGAGATGAACAGGACAGTCCTAATCAGAACTAAACTGTACTGCCTCTGTACTGTTTTTCCTTCTTTTTGAAATTGTTGGTTATTGGAAGATTTTCATCTGATGGTCACTAAAATTATTTTATAATAGAAATTCCACAGTGGTTTAAGTCATAATAGTTGAAATGCTTGCCAGCAATTATCTTATTAGGGATTAAAACAAATTTCTATTTTTATTTATGTTAGATTCATGTTGGTTAAATTCCCCATCATGGGTGGGTACACATTCATGTACAGCCTTTTTTTATTCTGTATTAATGCATATGTTCATTAGGTATATGGAGCTTGTTTGCCTGATAAATTGCTATGAAGTCAGTTTCTGTTATGATATGGTTCAAATCCTCCTCCTCCAAATGGCATGACATTAAAAATCTTATACAAAGCATTTGAGAATCCATATAATGGAAGTAGATTTCTGAACGTTCACCAGACTTTTGGATAGTAGTAAGATTTGAATTATGCCATTTGTAAGACTTTCCTTGTCTCTAAGCATTAAATATGGGGCTGTCTATGCATTATACTTTATACTTTTTATGTACGAAAGTAGAAATTTCACCATTATTAACAATAAAGTATATTACTATTATACATTATAACAACATTTTGTTGTTGTTTTAGAATACTTTTTGTATGGGGTGTATTACCATTGGCCAGTTAATAAAGGCAGGTCCAAACATTTGTTCAAATGTTTGAATCGATGGCAATTAATAAAAAAGCTTTGTGCTGACTCGGTGTCTATATGTAATGATCAGAAGTCTATTTCTTGTATGTAACATATACTTTAGAATCAGCATATACCAGGACTTATGATCCTTAAGAATGCCTTAGAGGGAAAGCAATACACTAAGAATTTAAAATTAAATCAGACTTTTGGAGGTACAGAAACATAGTGGAGTAATTTGATGTAAAAATAGATAGGTCCAAGGAAAGAATATTTAAAATATATTTCTCCTGTTTATTCATGAAGTTAAAGAGCTGATTTTTTTTAACTTTTAGCTTCTTTCTTTCTTTCTTTTTTAAATTTTTAATTAATTTATTTTTTCAAATACATTTGTCTCTGCCTTCCCCCACCACTTTCCCTTGCTCCCTCTCCCCTCTCTCTCCCTCAGTCCTTCCCCTTTGGTTTTGTCCATGAATAAGAGCTGATATTTTTTATACCTAAATTCAAACATACAGCAAAAAGTTTTTCAAATTACTGTGATATTAGGAACAAAAAATAGACTTATCATTTAACTATAGTAAATTTTCCCAGATCAGTTTTTAATAAGGATTACTAACTCTTTTATTAGTGTGGTATTTTTATTTTTAACATAGTAACATGCCTGTTTTCTCTTAGCTCTGCTACTTTGTTAAAGATGGCTAAAACTAAGCCCTACTTTTTATGATTTCCTGTATATTTCAGTTCTCTTTAGTAGATTGTCAAGAAAGCCATTTATTAATGGGCACAATAATTCATGCTGATGGAATATTATTTATAGCAATCCTGATTTGAAGTACTTTGTTATTATGTGAAAATAGACTAAGAATCCTTAAAGAGTCCACAGTTTTGTACTTTGTTATTATGTGAAAATAGACTAAGAATCCTTAAAGAGTCCACAGTTTTGTAATCTATGCCAGATATTTTCATAATAAATTACTGATAAGTGATCCACTCCTGTATAAATGTGCCAATAGCAGTATTGAAGATTCTAGAAGGGAGGAGAAATTCATTTGATTAAGGAAACTTGCTGATCAGGTTTGATAGATATTTGTTTGAATTGAATTGTGCTTTATAATTTTTTTATTTTTTATTTTTCAATTACAGTTGACATGCAGTATCATATTAATTTCAGTTGTATATACCAGTGATAAGACATTGTATAACTCAGTAAGTGATCATGCCAATAAATTTTGTACCCATCTGATACCATACATAGTTATTAGAATATTATTGACTATATTCCCTATGCTGTATTTTATACCCCCATGACTATTCTATAAAAACTAATATGTACTTCCTAATCCCTTCACCTTTTTCACCCATCCCTCCAATCCCTCTCCCATCTGGCCACCATCAAAATGTTCTTTGTATCTACGAGTCTGTTTCTGTTCTGCTTGTTTGTTTATTTCTTTTTAAATTCAATTGTTGATAGATAGATATTAATTGCCATTTTATTGTTCACTTTTTTAAGTCTTTTTTTCTGATCAAAGAAGACTCTTTAATATGTCATATGATACTTGTTTGGTGGTGATGGACTCCTTTAGCTTTTTCTTGTCTGGGAAGCTCTTTATCTGCCCTTCCATTCTAAATGATATCTTTACTGGGTAGAGCAATCTTGGCTTTAGGTCCCTGCTTTTCATCATGTTGAATATTTCTCACCACTCCCTTCTGGCTGCAAAGTTTCTTTTGAGAAATCATCTGACAGTCTTATGGGAGCTCCCTTGTAGGTAACTAACTGCTTTTCTCATGCTGCTTTTAAGATTCTCTCTCTGTCTTTAACCTCTTTCATTTTAATTATGATGTGTCTTGATGTGGGCCTCTTTGCGTCTCATTTGGTGGGACTCTGCTTCCTGAATTTTTGTGTCTATTTCCTTTACCAGGTTTGGGAAGTTTTCTAGCATTTTTTTTTTGCATAGGTTTCCAATTTCTTGCTCTCTTTTTTCTCCTTTTGGCACCCCCATGATAAAAATGTCAGTATGCTTGAAGTTGTTCCAGAGGCATCTTACACTACCTTTACTTTTTTAGCTTTTTTTTTTTTCTGTTCTGATTGGTTGTTTTTGCTTTCCTGTATTCCAAATAGCTAATTTGATTCTCAGCTTCATGTACTCTACTGTTGATTCCCTGTAATGTATTTTTTCAGGTTGTGTATAATTCATTTCTTTTTTAAAAAATATTTCATTTATTTTTTAGAGAAGGGGGAAAGGAGGGAGAAAGAGAGGGAAGGAAACATTAATGTGTGGTTGCCTCACACACCCCCTACTGGAGATGCACCCCCATACTGGGGACCTGGCCTGCAACCTAGGCATGTGCCCTGACTGGGAATTGAACTGGTGACCCCTTGATTCACAGGCCAGCACTCAGTCCACTGAGCCTCATCAGCCAGGGCTATATCCTTCATTTCTGACTGGTTCTTTTTTATGATTTCTATGTCATTTTTCATGCTGTTGAAGTTCTAAGTTCCTTGAGCATTCTTATAGCATTGTTTTGAAGTTGGTATCTGATAGTTTGCCTGCCTCCATTTTATTTTTATTTGTTCCTGGAGTTTTGCTCTGTTCTTTCATTTGGGACCTGTTTCTTTGTCTCTACATTTTGGCTGCTTCCCTATGTTTGTTTCTGTGTATTGGGTAGAGCTGGTGTATCTTCTGGACTTAGTAGAGTGCCTTTGTGCACTAGGTGTCCTGTAGGGCCCAGTAGTGCAGCCATCCCAGTTATCAGAGCTGGGTGCTCTAGGTGTGCCCCTATGTGAGCTGTGTGCACTGTCCTATTGTAGTTGAGCCTTGATTGCTCTTGGTGTCACTGGGAGGAATTGACCCCCAGGCTGATGGGCTGTGAGGACTGGCTACAACTGTAGCAGAGGAGCTGCTGTATAGGCGTTGACCCTGTGGAGCAGGACTTGCTTCAGGGGGGGCTTTTGTGCTCACCAAGTCCCCCCCTTGAGTGTGTGCCTTATAATTTTTATAGCATGTATATTTTTCTTTTATTTAAATTCATAATCAAGCAGCGTTATTGGACCGTATCTATTCTTGATATTTAAGCTATTTCCAAACACTTGTACTGAAAAAGTGTCTTTTGAAATAGTGTCTCTAAATTCAGAAATTTATTAGTTTTATGTATAATACTGTTTACTGTAGCATTCATAGTAGTAAAAAGTTATAAACAGCCTAAATGCCCACCAGTAGGCTATGATTATACCATGGCACATTCATATGATGGAATCTTATACAGATGTTTAAAATAATTATGTCCTTTAAGAATATTCAGTAACATGAGGGAAATGCTTACATAATATGAAATGAAAAATACAAGATATAAAAATGGCATTTAGTATGGTCTTGCTTTTGTGTATATATACACACATATCATATTTATGTGCATAGAAAAGAAAATACTGTATTTTGCTGTGTATAATGTGTACTTTTTTGGCCAAATTTTTGAGGGAAAAATAAGGATGCACATTTTACATGGGAAGGGCCTGAAATACCTTGTATCTATTGTGTTTTGTAATTATTTGTTGCGTAAAATTTCTTGTACAGTAATACATTAAAAATGCTAAAATTCCTTTATAATATAAAATTATCTAAATATAAATAAATAAAATATTGAATTAAAAAATTAAAATGAAGGATTTTTTTTCCCTTAAAGTTTGGGCCCAAAACATGGGTGCACACTATACATGGCAAAATATGGTATATTAAAATACCATGGTTTTCTGGATTATAGAATTTGGGGTGAGAATTCTCTCTTATGGTTCCCTGTATTTTATTTGGTAATCGTATAATCAGAAAAAGATTGTTTAATAAAAATATCAATTTTTTAATTTAAATGTAATCTGTACTTTTTTATAGTATACCAGGTTTCTCTACTTGTCATACGTCCATTTGTTTTTACTCTTATATTTCAGAGGACCTTTTTTATCACTACCTGTTCTGTTATTACACTGTGAAACTCTTAACTGCCTAGCCTATACTTTAAAAACAGTTTATTTGAGGGCATAATTTTTCTCTGTTAGTCATAACTATCAGAATTTAGATGCCTATGTGCTCAGAAACTGTTAGATTTAATAATGTCATCTTATAGTATGATGACAGAACAGAGGTTTATTCCCATTTTTCTAAAAGTGTGGAGTTAATTCATCCTCGTAATAGAGTAACATCTCATTAATTTCAAGTACTAATTTGGAATTTTTGTTACTTTTGTCCTCATGATCAGGTTTCCTTATAAGTTAGAGTATTATTGATTCCTAAAGATTTAAAATGCCAATAG